GGCAGAAGGCGGTCTCTCAACCAATCAAACCATAACTCTGTGTTCTGTTTCACAGCACAACCCCTCTGCCCCAGCTACTAGATTTAAATAATTTAGCTACTAAATTTAAATCCCCCCCCAACTATGTAAGGTTCCATTCACTCCAATGGATTTCCAGGAAGAGTTTCTGGAGCACACAGTGGTGGATGCCTGAAGACACCAGCTACCAAAGTGCTGAGGTGGCTGGTCCCTGCTGTCATTTTAACCCCTGATTGCCTTGGGGGATTTGCAGATCCAGGGCTTGTTGGAAGCTGTTTGCCTTGGCTGCAATTTCATTTAAGCGTTGCAATATAAAAAGGTTTCTGAAGAGAGAAGGCAATCCTCCTGGAAGGATTTAGTGATAAAGTTATTGGAGTTTTTTTCCAGAAAGTTATCTCTCTGCTCCAGGAGATGATTTGGGCAGAGTCTTGAAGGGCTGAGGAGGTGATCTGTGTTCTATATTGTTATAATCTTTGGAGGTGAAAGAGGCACCAGATCCATTACTCCCGTTTTTGGTGGCCTCAGGTGGAGAGATCAGATCCTAATTTCTTTTTCAGCTTTGTAAGTTTTATCAGTCCTAATATTGTTGCTGGGCCTGCTCAGGGTTCTTTTTTTTACCCTTGGGTGGCATTTTGAGGATATTATGTTAAACCAGAATTGATAAGGACTGTCATACCAACAGCTTCTTTCAGAAGTTGTTGATGTGTTGCCATCTTGATGCCTTCCCCTGAGATAAGCATAGATTTAACAATTTTGTCAAACAAAATAGCAACAACTTGTCAGTTTAGACAGGAATAAAGGTATATTTTTAATCTTCTGATCTATTACTTCATTACCTCATTTCATGTGTGACATATCCAAAGCATTATGTCGATGGAATCTTAAGGAAATCTTGAAATTGTTGAAGTTTTCAAGAAGGTTCAAAACCATTCATCTCTAAAATGAAAAAAACTTCACGTTAAAATAATAGTAGATGGCATATTGCTATCATGAAAATGTAATGGGGAGAAAGGGAGATAGATAATGCATCAGATATTTATTTAAAGATCAGTCTTCTCTGCTGGCATTTATATGAAGAACCAAAATCTGGACTCTCTTATTATCTTTCCTTTATGTAGCATATTAGGCATTGGCAAATAACTTGCACAAGTGACCTTCCTGAATTGCAGTTTCCACTTTGCTTCACTACTTACTTTACATTTATTTTATTTTGCTAATGGTCTATGACAGAGCAAACTTCCAAAGAAGAATTAAGTTGGCCAAAGTTTAATGTAAAAGCATGTTGCATTACTGATTCTAATAAATAGAGTTAACCAATATATTTCAAGTATAACTTGGGCCTGGGCAGAGATTTGGGGATTTGAGAATGTTGTTAGACACCGAGAGCAAGATATGAAACAGAATCAGGAGGAGAAAGCTGACATCGTGACGATACGACGTGCAATCTTGGAGCTCCAAGATCGCAGTNATTTTAATTTTAATTTAATTTATTTTTAATTTTATTTGTCGCGCTGCTGATGACGTCACATACGCACTTTGATCGGGCGCGCTTTAGTGGACGGCGGTTTTGACGGGTCACGATTTTCCAGTCCTAGTGAATTCAATTCATTTTTTTTTATTTATTTTTTAAAAAAAGCAAGCTCAGAAATGAAAACGTAAATGGCATTGGCAGCACCCTGATTTTTTTTTTTTTTTATAATGCTGTTAGAAGGGGAATGTGGAATGTTATTAATAATAAAATGCTCTGCTAGCTGTTGAAATTTAGGCTGCCATACAACAGAAAAACAAACAGTCTCCTGATAAAAACAGAGTTTCACTTCTTTCTGCTTGTCATGACTATATGCCAGAGTGGGATTTAAATGATAAAACTACAGCCGTGCTGTTTTGTAATCAAAAGATTAAAAGATTTTCCAGTGAATGCAGAACAACACCCACTCTTTGATTTGCTGCAAAATTATTCCTTTATATAAAAGAGAGGAACAAGAGGGGAGGAGGGATTATTAACAAAATCAACATTTCTGCTTTTTAATCAGCTAGATTGGGTATATTTGCTGACTCCCAATGGATAGTCTCATTCATTTTCTCTCTCTGTTTCATACGCTATCTTTTAAAACCGGAATGTCTCACTGTACTTGAAAACAATAACCTCCTTAAAACCCTTTTGAAGGCAAAAAAATAAAGAAAAGAACAGATTCTCTACCACATCTTTGCTAGCTCCATTTTAAAGTTTGGCCAGTTTTTATTTTCATTTGGATATCGGCAGGGAGCAGAGCCACATCACAACCTGTTTGATTTATTCCCAAAGCACCATCAATTCAAGCCACTTTTCCTTCATTGCATTCTAACCAACCTCCAATCACAAAAGCTTTCAGGAGCTTCTCAACACTGGCTGAGTGTGAAAAAAAAATGATTCGGGGGGAGGGCAGAATGCGTGGCAAGGCAAGAAGTCTCCCCAATGGGGAAAATCGAAATGCAGAATAAACACTTTAGAACTTAGAATGTGTGTTCCATTCAAAGCAAAAAGCCAGAGAGTGTAAAAGGACAGGCCTCTGAAGGTGGCAGATCAGCTAGAGCTGTTTGCTGCTTGCCAAAAATCTCTGCTGGTTTGAAGCCAGAGCTGTGTGATTTTCTTTTTCCAGTTGAAGATGTAGAGAAAAATCTTGGTGTGGGTAAGACACTATATCACTATGTTTTACCCAGGAAAGAGATCATGTAAAAAGATTCAGACGTGTCCCAGTTCTACTTTGCCTTATGCTCTGCGGTGGAGTTCCTAATAAATCCAAAAGACAGATTTGCTCTAAAATTAACTTTACCGGTCAGCATGACTCAATGTGCTAATTTTTTTTAAATAAAACCCAATTTACCATTGGCTAAAGCATTATTTGCGGGAGGACACAAACACTGCTTTGATGATCCAAATTTAAAAGAGATTCTTGACCGTTTCTAAAAGAGGGATTGATTTATTCATTTTTTGGAAGGTGAAAAAGGGGGGGAATCTCTACAAACCCATGAAAAATTTCCCT